CTTCTTCCACCTCACACCTCATCCCTCTGATGGAGTGTGAGGTGTCCACTCCCCCCTTTTCCCACCCCCTCCATCTGCTCCACCTCCCCTACCCCTCTAACCAAAGGAAAAGGACAGCTCCGACACCCCTTCCCGGACTGACCCCGGAAAGGGCGGAGTCCGTCACTCCTCAAAATCCCCCACTAGACCGCCGTCCAATCCAGGACGGCAACCTAGAAACCACTCGGCCTCCCCCGCGAGGAGGAGTCAGAGTATTACTCCGAAGCCGGGGCCTTTGTGCTCCAAAAACAAACTCGGCGGAATCCGACCTTCCATTGCAGAATTGCAACACCTACAGGCCACACTGTGCCCACTTGTGGCCTGTATACAAGAAATAAAATTCGTCCCGGCTTCCACCATAGACTTGAGAGGATTTACTGCATATCATCACATTCACACGGAGAACCAGATTGCTTCCGGTGGAACCACCATCTACACTGACAACAACACCCTCCACAGACAAATACATCTTAGGACGACTCTCCAGGCTATTTCTGTACTGGTCACCCTGTGCAGACCAATCACGATCTGCTCAGTCTATATCCCACCAAATTACCCCCTCAAAATAACCCAACGTAGATGCCTCAGGGAGAGCAAAAGACAATCGTTTAGAAAATACATCTCCAAAGAAAACAAAACAGCCAGACACGACTCAACCAAGTTTTTAAAATCGCTAATATTAAATTTAGGAAGACGCACAGACACCTAAACAAATGGGTAACAGGGAAAAATCAGGGAAACGTAGCTTTTCTGAGAGCATCCGAGCAAAGGAATGAATGGAAAATCATGATCGCCGATGTCTGTCGCAGATCTGGCACTGGATGATGATGATGATGATGATGCACAGACACCATCCGGCGCATCCAGAGGCCGGATGGAACCACAGCTGAAAAACAGATAGACATCGCAAACACAATAGCTACATCTCTTGCCAACAACTCATCCCAAGCAAACTACAACTTCTTCTTCTTCTTCTTCTATCCCGTGGTTGGAGCAACCGTGGGGGCACCACTGCATCTGAAAACCAGCTCTCGCGATCTATTTTTGTCCTCTGCTTTCCTCAGATTGTCATCCATCGTCTTTCCTGTCCACTCTGTAATGTTGGCCTCCCATCTCCTTCTCTGCCTTCCTCCCTTTCTCTTTCCTTGCACGGTTCCTTGCAGGATTGTTTTGGCAAGTCTTGTGGATCTTGTGACATGCCCATACCAATTTAGTTTTCGTCTCTTCACTGTGATCAGTAGATCTTCATATTGCCCCACTGCGTTGGTGATTCTCTTTCGTACTTCAGCATTTGAAACGTGGTCTTTGTACGAGATGTCAAGGAGTCTGCGGCAACATCTCATCTCTGTGGTCTGAATCTTTTTCTCTAATTCTGCTGTTAGTGTCCACGACTCCCAGGCGTATAAAATATTGAGATGACCAGTGAGCGCATTAGTCTAATTTTTTTTAGCTGTGCGTGATGTTTCTGTCCCTCCAAATAGGCTTCAGTTTTGACAGCGCAGCTGTTGTTTGCGCGATTCTATAGAGAATTTCTGGTCTTGAGCCTTCATCTGAGACGATTGATCCAAGGTATTTGAAGCTGTTGACGGTCTCAAGTTTCTCGCCCCTGACATTGATGTCCGGGTTGATGCCATTGGTGTTATTGGTCATTAGCTTGGTTTTCTCGGCCCTGATCTCCATGCCGTAGGCTGCTGAGGTTGTGTCCAGCCGCTCCAATAGTGTCGCGAGCTCCTGTTCCTCTCCTGCTAATCCATCGATGTCATCGGCAAAACGCAAGTTAGTGATTGTCCTGCCTCCAATACTGATTGTTCCATTGTGGTCTTCCAGAGCGTCAGTCATAATTCGTTCTTGGAAGATGTTGAAGAGAGTGGGAGAGAGAAAACACCACTGGGCGGATGAGCAGCATCAAACAGCCAACGGCCATGAGCGGAAGGGTCCCATGGCGTACCCAAAGGTCAGAGCGGAAGGGTTCCAAGCTGAGCACAATGGTCAAGTGTATGCGATCGGGGGCGACCCACATCATGTTCGTGGACATCGGCCTACGGTTAAGAGCTTGGAGAGGGATGGGCACCGCCAAGCTTCTCTGCCCAAGACTCACCACATGAGAATGTCAAACAGCTCAGATACTATACCAGATTGGTCGTCGCCCGGGTCTCCAAACTACAACACCACCTTCAAAAACATGAAAGGCAGACTTCACATTAGACGAACTAACATCGTACATCTTGGACCTTGGCAATACATCCCCGGGTTCGGATGACACCCACAACCAGACCCTTAGACACTTATCCACAGAAACACTTACACTCCTACTAGACAGAAACAACGACATGTAGCGGTCGCACTCCTTACCGGAGTCTTGGCGTCTCGCCACTGTCATTCCTTTACCCAAACCAAATAAAGACCACACACACCCATCCAATTACAGACCAATAGCACTAACGATCTGTCTGTGCAACTTTATAGATAGTATGATCCACAGGCAACTCATGTGGTTTCTAGAGACGACGGGCTCGCTGAGCGGTCTCCAGTGCGGATTCAGGAAAACTCGATCCGCGCTGGGAGACCTTTGTACTCGAGACGTTTGCCGAAGGAGACCACATGATGGCCATCTTTTTCGACCTAGAAAAAGCCTTCGACACAACCTGGAAGTACGGCATTCTCAGAGACCTGCACGCTCTCGGCATACGCGGTCACCTCCCTGCCTTCATTGGCAATTTCCTGAAAGAACCGTTCCTTCCAAGTTCGTGTCCGATCCTCCCTTTCAGATCCCCACCAACAAGAGAAAGGTGTCCTCCAGGGGAGTATCCTTTCTCCTCTCCCATTTGAAATAAAAAAAGATTTCATCTTTAAAAAAACCCAAAAAAGCATAGACAACTCGTTATACGTTGACGACTTCTTGATATGCTGTCGTTCGAAAAATCCTCAACTAAGATCTATGGAAAGGCAGCTGCAAGCGCAGCTGCACAAACTTGAAAAGTGAGCAAACAATAACGGTTTCAAGTATTCTCCGTCAAAGACGGTTGCAGTACACAAATACTTCTGCCGATCAGGCAGACGTGTCCTGCAGCCGGATTTAACACTATACGGGGAAAGGATTGCCGTCCAGGATCAGGCTCGTTTCCTCGGCGTTATATTCGACAAAAAACTCATATTCACCTGACTAACCCTTTACTATCCACGAAATGAATTCATTCCTGAGATACAGAATCTCTTGCAGAAATTGAGTCGGACACAAGAGTGAAACGCTGACAGTAGTAGTTACGACATAGAAATCGCCCGGTTCGGATGGAAAATTGGAAACCAAACTATCGTATGTCATTGTTACGATATATACAACATTGAGATTTGAAACCAAAGTATCGTAACTAGACTTACTACAGTTTGGATGCAATTTTTTTGCCAAACTCAAGATACGACATAAAGACTCTATGCCATAGCTGCCTTAATATTAAAGTTAGAGGGACATCGTTTTAACAAGAGGTGGGCGTCGTTTTGTTCTTTAACATATTTTTTTTTTAAAGTCGTATCTCGAGTTACCATTGTTTGGAATCGTACCCTCGGTTTGCAGTTATTGTTGCTGTTATTATCAACATGTA